GGGGGGGGGGGGAGGACAAGGATGAGATGTTGCCCCTTTTTAGGGAAATAACCTACAAATTAGCACTGGTTTGAGAGAAGGGCTGAGGATGGAGCTTGGTCGGGGGGTGGCTGGAGGGGGCCACGCTGGCTGGGCCTCAGCCAGCCCCTCGCTGCCACCACAGCACGCTGCCCATCGGCAGGAAGGGTCGCTGCCCCAGCTCCCTCTACATGGCCTGGCTCGAGACCCTCTCGCAGGACCTGAGACCCCCCATCATCCTCACCCGAGGAAACCAAGAGAATGTGCTGACCTTTTACTGCCAATAAAGCCTCCGGGATCCCTGCCGACTTGGGATGTTAATTTTTCAGGCCAATGTTGATCTCAGAGCGCGCTCGCCCGGGGGGCTGGGGGAGCAGTGCAAGCATGTGGTTGCCAGCTCTCGGGAAATGCCCCTGATGCACAGCTGCCATCCTCTTACAAAGACTCATTTTGCTGATCTCAGCTTTGTGGGCTGTATGTAGATATAAAATAATGCAGGCCCCGTGGTGCAGGCATCGTTCCAGCCCTGGGTTTAGCCAGCACCACGCCCCTGAGGTGTGGGGTCCCATCCTGACAGCGATGGGACAGTCCCTGAGCTCCTCCAGAAGAGCCTGAGCAGCACGCAGGGACTGACCCACAGCCCTGGCAGAGCCACTGTCCAGGGTGGAAACTGCCCCAGGGGGACGGGAGTGGGTCAGCACCAAGCCCAGGGGCTGCAGGGACCCTGCACCTCCACTCAGGGACAGGGACCCCTGGCCTCAAAACGGGCTGAGCCCGTCCCTGACAGCCAAAAAGCAGCGAAATGTCATCTTGAGCTGAGGTGCAGGTCCGGCTCCTAATGGAGACAAAATGAACACCCAGAACCAGTACATTTCCTGGTGCAGGTGGTCCCAGGTTGGAGAAACCTGCCCCTATGCAAGGCAGGAGCAAGGCTCATTTCCAAAAGCACAACCCAGACCCCCTGTCACACTGCAGGAGAAACACACAATTTCATTTGCCTCGATTGTTACAGAATTTACTGATAATCACCACCAGGATTAGAACAGTCAGTAGAAAAATAAAATTTACAGAGTTTTCGATCATACAAAGATTTGTTCATGACAGCTGCGGTCGTTAGCGAGACAGGAAGCCGGGCAGTATCTAAATCAGCCCAGCACAGGGATGTTTGCACACAGAGAGCAGGGCCATGACTCTCAGCTCGAGCAGTGACGTTCCTTTAGGGCAGGCAGCTCGTCCTGGCTGCGCCCCCTGGCCAGGGGTTCACAGCACTGCCCAGACCGGGACACCTCAGCACTGACATTTTTGCAAGCTCTTTGCAGCTCTTTGCAAGTTTGACTGAGCAAAGTCTACCGCCACCCGCTGAAAACTGAAGGGATTCCTGTGCTCGCCTCACTCAGGATAAGGAATGCAAATGGAGAACCAAACGGATGCCGGCAGTGACCCATCTGGTGCATCAGCTCAGGACTCCTCCTCCTTCCCATCTGGATCTGGTGATCAGGTTTTACTGGAGAGGGAAGTTGGGAAGGCAGCCAGGGGGGCTGAGGATGCTCTGCGAGTACCGAGGTGACACAAAGAACTCGGTGCTAATACCCATCAAGACAAGTCAGCTGACAGCTCACCTTTCATGCAAGAATTCCCTGAAAATTTCACGGTTCCTGGGCACAGAGGCACCACCGGCTCCAACCCCTCAATTTCCAAACAGTGGCCAAGCTGCCAACTCTTCAAGTAAAGCAGACCTCCCCACCACGAGAGACTTCGGGAGATCACAGTGGGTAGAAAAGAGGAGGTTTTCAGTTCACTCAGCACCAAGTGATTTTATCAAGCAATTTTTTTTTCCTTTGTTCTGAGCTCTTAACAGCCCGGATTTGTGTCCTGCATGCCTCAGCCCCGTTACTACACTAGAACCACCCTCATGCTGTAGCATGTGGCACACTGATAAAAGTGCTTTTCCAGTTGCAATCAGCTTAGTCCTTGCTACTGAGGGATGCCAGGCACTGGGGCAGGGGGGAAAAGCGAGCACAGCAGGCGCCCAGACACTGGTTTCTAGTGTGACCTGAAAGGTAAGGCCAGATCTGCCTAGTCTAAGTTTGAATCCATCCCAGAAAATGCAGGATAATTCCCATGAATTAAACCAGGCACTCTGGACACACACCGTGTATACAGCCATTTGAAATCAGAAGTGGGAGGGGAGAAAGACATCTAGAGATCACACTATTCCTGCTTTTTAGCTGGGGGCAGTAGCAAAGAGGGAAGGGAAGCCCTGGGGCAATGCCATGGTAGGAAGACAGGCTCTCTACAAGCAGCACAGCACACAGGGCATTCTGAATCTGAAGATCCCAAGTTTAGTCTAGGTTATGCTACTTGGGCCTCACCCACCTAAGGAGAAGGATTCATATTAAAGTCTTTCCTAAAATGCACAGCTTTATTCCCTGAATTAACATGGGCTAAAATTTAGAGTAATCTCAGTAAGTAGCTCCCAAAAAGCACCTCAATCCATCAACTGTCAACAGACCACTCTGGAGAAGTTAGTACATAGAGAGAAATTTCTTTTCATGATAACCACATGGCCCTGCTGAGGGTTGTTTCAGCATAGGGGACATGGGGTTGATGGAAGATAACTGGCTTTACAAAATTTTGCAGGTACAAACGGTGAGCTCATTTGGAAACCAAAGGAGTTCAGCAAAAACACAGAAGGGACATGTATCCTGGGAGGGTGGACACAGGAACACCTTCCCTCGGCAGCCCACATGAATGTCAGCTGGTAATAAACCAATCAGGACCACAGTAAATCCATGGGGCTGGATACACTGCCCAGCCACATCCATGGGATATAACTACAGCTTCCCCAAGGGCTCCAAAAAAACCCAAGCCCCCAGAAAGCCCCTGGCTAGCCCCCTGAGAGCTCCAGCCATATGGCATACCTCCAGGCAAGAGGGTAGATCTAAGAATGAGTTAAAAGCCACTTAAAACAAAACAAACTAAACCAGTTCATTAGAGGAGAGCATACTGCCTGCTGGAAAGGGTTGGTCTGGGGCTGTGTTCACATGGCTCGTGCCTGATGGACACGAGAATCACCCAGGCTCTCCCTGGGACCCTCACAGGCATCCACCCAGCGGCACACTGCAGGCTGGATGCCGAAAACACAGCGTGCTCCCGCCTCTGCAGCCAGGAAGCCTCAAGTCACAAGAAGCCAGTGCCGGCCATGCAGTTCTCACCAGCACGGTCACCGAAGCAGCAGAGTGCTGGATTTTCTATCAGTTGGCCAGTGATGTTTACATATCACAGAACCACATAATCGTCTCGGTTGGAAAAGACCTTGAAGATCCAGTTCAACCATGAACCTCACGCTGACCGTTCCCAACTCCACCAGATCCCTCAGTGCTATGTCGACCTGACTCTTAAACACCTGCAGGGATGGGGACTCCATCATCTCCCTGGGCAGCCCATTCCAACACCCAACAACCCCCTCTGGAAAGAAATGCTTCCTAATATCCAGTCTAAACCTTCCCTGGTGCAACTTGAGGCCATCCCCTCTTGTCCTATTGCTTACTACTTGGTTAAAGAGACTCATCCCCCCTCTCTGCACCCTCCTATCAGGGAGCTGTAGAGGGCCATGAGGTCTCCCCTCAGCCTCCTCTTCCCCGGACTAAACCCCCCCAGTTCCCTCAGCCACTCTCCATCAGACCTGTGCTCCAGACCCTGCACCAGCTCCGTTGCCCTTCTCTGGACACGTTCGAGTCATTCAGTGGCCTTTTTGTAGTGAGGGGCCCAAAACTGAACCCAGGAATCGGGGTGTGGCCTCACCAGTGCCGAGTACAGGGGCAAGATCCCTTCCCTGTCCCTGCTGGCCACACTATTGCTGACACAAGCCAGGATGCCATTGGCCTTCCTGGCCACGTGGGCACACTGCTAGCTCCTGTTCAGCTGGCTGTCAAACAACACCCCCAGGTCCCTCTCTGACTGGCAATCAGCAAAGACACCCAATTCTGCCACACCAGTGTAAACGTGATCAGGAAGTAAAAGCAGAACAGAGAAGTTTAAAAATATGAGTCTCTTTCAGAGCCCAAGAAGGAACAGCACACGCTCACACAGGCGCCCTGGGATTCCTAGTGTGGGCAGTGGGGCGTAGCACCCCTTCAGCTGTGCTTGGCCTCTCAGGCAGAAGGTACAGAGCCAGAAGAGCTTAACCATAATAAAATTCACAAAACCAAGAATCTTTTCTACAGCAGTTTTTCCCTGCTGAGGCATTCATAGTCACAGCTCTCAGACACTAATTTGCACTTTCATCTGTCTCAAATGATTTTTCCTTTTGCTGCTCCCAAAGTCACTATGACCAAGACCTGGTATTAGGAAGTGAGGGCCAGGAAGAAAACAAATTATTTTTCTCATTTAAAAATATCACATTAAAAGAGCTTCAGGCTCACTGCAAACAAAGCAGCAGAGGATCAAAACTAAGCGAACTCTGGAGACATCCCAATCACTCTGTAGAACTGTTCCTACCCCAGAACAGCCAGTGTTACATCTTAGTTACATCCTGTCACTACAATTCATCGTGGGTAAAAGGTGTGTGGGCCTCCTCCTCTGGAAGCCATTTTCCTATCCTCCAGAGAAATAAAGTTTCACTTGGCACTTAATGTTACCAAAAAGTAACAAAATTCACAATTTTTATCTTAATTTCAAGCCACCTGGAGGCAGGAGCAAGCCTTCATGTAGACTTTAACCAGTGGAGGCAGCACACACCGAGGCACGCCTCAAGCTGTGCTCTCTCATGATTTGTTTCAGAGTTGGTGCAGGCAACAGATCCTTTGTTCTCCCTTCAATCTGTGAACTCTAGAGTCTGAAGAAGAGCTAGAGAGTGGCTAAAATTCGTAGAAATGAAACCACCACCACGCAGAATGTCTGGCCCACTCCCAAAATGAGGGCTTCAAAGGGAATCATTTTTTTCCCTGCAGCTCTGTAAACTCCAGCAATGGCAGCACCTGTGGAGAGGGGAAATAGCTGAAACATCAATGTTGTACCTCAGGAACAAAGAGGGAAGACTCAGAGGATGCAAGAATAGGGCAGAAAACAGGGGGGTCTGTGGGAAAGGGCCCTGAACCCCTGTTCATGGGCTGGCAGGAAAGCCAGACTGGGTTTCTGACGTGACAAACCTCAGCCAGTAACCAACACATGCTGGTGGCAGCGGGTAAATTGGTGGTGAAACTCTGCTGAGGCCTCCAGAAGGTGTGGAGGTTGGTGCAGTTTTGGACATACTCACAAGATCCTCTACACCATAGCCCACGTGCTGCAAATATTACCCAGTTCTGGGCTGAGACACCAAACGTGCAACTGTTTTTTCTCTGGGTGCTTAGAAACCTGAAAGCCCACCTGGCGCTGCACCTGACAAGCACGTTTGGGGCCACCAACAATGAGCTCGATAGGTGGGATGGTCCAATTCAAACACGGGGCAAGGGGGAAACACAACCAAAACATTAATCTCCTCTACCCCGGGGAATGCCGCGGTTCGGTGCGCTCCCGAAAGCGAACTCTGATCGCTACAGAGCCACCTGGTCGGTATTTTCGAGCATCTACCGTACTTGTTAGGATGCCGGCAGTAATGGGTCCCACGATGCCCATCAGCAGGAGGCTCACGGACATGAACCTGCCGTACTTGTGGTGCCTGAGCGTGAAGAGCGCTAGCAAAGCTGCCGGGACGTGGAAGGAGAGGGATGAGACGAGGGCCCACAGGAAGACACCATACCACATCTCTGTGGAGAGAAGGGCTGTGAGGCAGGCTCGGGGCCCGCAGGCCCTCAGCGAGGCCGGCAGAGGAAGCGGAAGGGCCCCGCAACGGGGAGGGTACCTGGGAAGGTGGAGAGCGGGCTGGAGTAGGTGGTGCCATTTCCCACGCGGGGCACCAGGCGGAGGCTGAGGATCTGCTGCAGAAGCCCGCCGCCACCCGGCTCGCCGCCCTCCATCCCCTCACCGGCCCCGCCGCCGCCATCCGCGGGCTCCTCTTCCGCCTGCCCCCTTCCGCCAGTTCTAGCCAATTGGAA